AGAAAGCCAGAGTGCATGCAAAAAAAATATGAAAAAATTTTCAAAAAAGAAATGGTTGTTTTAAGGCTGTTACAGGTCAAATAGTCAGTACCTGTCCCAAGTCTACAATAATATTTTAACTTCTAAGCCGACCAATGCAAAAGCTGAGAGATTACTTTTTTAGCAAGTTATATTTGTAACTCTTTGAGAAATAGGCTAGACTGCAGACTGCAGACGAATCTTAATTTCTTTTGATTTACTTACACAATTAATGCTACTATGATAACTTCTACATATAGAATCAAGATTAAAAGGTTAACTTTTTCTCTCCGTGCGTAGGGACAAGGTTCACTCGTGTGTGTTTGTAATACTAGTTTCAGTGCAGCCACAGGAAAACACTCGTTCTATTTCTTCAAGCTGATCTTAAGTCTATAAAGGGCTTTTTCTAAATTAAATATTTTATTTTTCTTAAGTTAAGCTTCAAAGAGCCATTTGATAGATACTACTTTAACAATTTTATTTATTCGTAAGGATCTCTTGTCACGAGCAAGAACAAAAAGTAACGATAGTATTAGTCTTTGGACATTTTTTCAACATTTTTAATTTGATAATCCATCTTTGGTTCCACCTTGAAAGGTACTTTGAAAGATTCAAGACCAGTGCAAAAACTTTAAAAACGTGCGTCAATATTCCATTAAAAGAACTAAATTGTATATTTAAAAAGTAATACTGACTGCTTACTCGCACAATGAATTCCGTTCATCGCTGCGGGAATATGTAATTTATCAAAGTAGTTCTTGCGACTGTTTATCTTCGCGTCGAATCAAATCAGTATAATTACCAGCTATACAAATGATCCCAACATCATGGCGCCAATTGAAAAACTTGGAAAAAGTTTTCAACTCATGCCAACCCTCTGTTTGGTAATATTTCACAAATCGTCATGCAGCTCAGCAAAAAAAGTAAGTATAAGCATCAAAAAGGTGAGTATTTTCGATTCGAGTTTCACAACCGAGCTTTTTATCCCGAGCGCTCGCTCCTCGCTCGATTCGTTCCACCGATTAAGGAAGTTTGTTCCCCAACTTGAGTAATTCGACCGCGTGGTTTTTCCCAAAAGCCATCCCCGCGAACTTGGCGAAACTTTTCCAAAAGCGTCTACCAGCGACCCTCCAAGTTTCGGAAAAACCAGTCTTCAAAGCGTCAAGTTTTTAAGATTTCCAGCAACAAAAGGGCACAAGGGAAATTCGAAACTAGCCCGCAGCCGTCCCAGACAATACCAGTTCTTCCCAACTTTCGTATTTTTTTCAATAAATAAATTCCAACAGCCGTGGTTCGTATTTTCGACTTATAATCAGTAGAGACCAATTACCACGCCAATGGACTGATCTTCCGATAAGAGTATGTACCGTGTCGATTTCAGGTTTTAATCAAATCTCGGCTGCAACGGAGTTAAGGTTCCCAACGAAGGGATAATATTAAACTCGACGGTGCATCAGGAGACTTTTAATCAACGGGTGATAATTGCAATTGGATTTTTTTTTTTTTTTTTTTTTCAACGCGAGTTGCCACTAGCGAAGATATTTAATTTGCGAATCAATGCGGAGACTGTAATTGCAAACCGGTGTTTTTAAGTATACACGTGCAGATGTACGCGATGCCATCTTAATTTAAATCAGTCAATATTCACCGATTGGCCGGTTAAAGTCGTCCGGTCACCGGCCAATTAAAGAAATTTAAGGTACTCCCTGTAACACACTAACCCGTTTGGCCAAACAATCAGTCAGTAATTTGCCAGTACATCGTATACTTTCACGCCCCCTGTATTAGTAACTTTAGCTATAAATACTGTGCACCAGGACTTGAGTAACCGGAGAACCAATGACTCGATTTTCGTGTATAGATTTATATACAACACAAGCGCGCACACTAAAATCAATAAACCTCACGACAAAGCATACGTAAGGAGAGGTTTTGTTTGTCCAAACTAACAGTGAAATCTTCAAAAAGTGAGATTAGATTTCAACAATTACTGTAAACTTGCAATAAGCCGGTGGCACTGGAACTTGTAAAAAAATAAGAAATTGTTGAAAAATCTAACTTCTGATCTCCCGTGTCCAGTGATTACACAATCAGAGGAGAAAGCGCCGTCGTGACATCTATACAAACATACCCGTGTCCAAGAGAAAACGTCCTCAATTACCCAGAGGGAGCAATTAGCCCTGCAGGCTCGCAATCAGCTAGAAAAGGGGGAGTAAGGGAGCATCGGACTGCACTCCACCGAGCTCATCCTCGTCAGCACCACCTACACGTGCAATGTACTTACGTCTATGCGACTTTGTCCAGAAGAGTGTGCGCCCTGCCTCCTCCCCCCCTTGCACAACATACAACGGCCAAGCAAACGCGGACAAAGACGTGGCGCGCCAGTCAAGGGGGACGAGACACGAGGGGGATGAAAGAAAAAAAGCAGCAGCTGCACTATGGCAACGAAATTTCTCAACTGTATACTTTCCCCTGCACGCGCTTAAGTACTTACGCGCGACGATGGAAAAACCTCTTGTGCAATACCTAAAAGTATATGTTTATGTATGTGCACGGACTTTTCCTTATTCCGTAATGGCTGAGAGTATATGTACGGGGAAACGACAATCCCTTACAGAGAGCAAACACTCTCGGCTCCCTTTTGTATACCCTCCTGTATACGTATGTGCCATTTAATAGTTGGTATAAAGTTGATGAGCGGCGCACGGCTACTAATCCTCGTAAGCTCACTTTGTGTCCCCTTTGCGGATATTCTTTCTTTTGTATGTACGGTACACCTATACTGGGACGGTTGGTGCGAATGGCGCGTGAGACGCGTGTATCCCGATCGGTATTTTTTTATGTCAGTACACGTGGCTACGATGAATATATACTCAAGTCTTTACTGTTTACCATTTACCGTATTTGAAGAGAATATCCCTAAAATACTTTAATATATTTTTTTTTCCATTTGTTTCACAAAAATGAACAATCCGCGATAATTGATGCAATACAAATGAGGTTTTTTGAGAGAAACAAACGCATTTTAATCACCCACCGTTTATATAAAAGTATACGAGCTCCTCCTTTCACCTTTTTTTACTATAAGTTCGTTAACTCCTGCTCCCCCCCCCCGCAAGATTAACTCTTCAGCGTTTGGAGGCCCTTAAATTTCCTCCACGCAGCCCATCTGTCCGTCTACCTATCTTTAACCCCCCTCGTCCCTTTCTCGGTTCTTTGACGTGAAAAACTTTTTATTTTCATTAGAAAATCCTTTTTCCACCTCCATGCGATTATAACTGTGTGCTCTCTCGCGGGAACAAGTTTTAATTAATATAAAAGTTGAGCTCGTCAGAAATTTAATTTCCACGATAATTTTAATTCTTTTAATCGTGATGATGCAACGATACTTCTTTCCATCGCTCCCCTGTCCGGATGCGTATATAATATATGTGTGTGGATATGTTACATATTTAATTGAAACATTGAAAAAAAAATCCTCATTTGTTATGCATAAGCGCAATTGTCATGCGAAAAGATGCACCGCAGCAGAAAAAAAATGTACCAATTTCGTGAGGATACATCGTATACGCACAAAAAAAAACACGTCCCTTCGCGAGCACAATTGACACTATATACGCGGGTATACCTGTGTGTACCTGCTCATCATCGCCGTGGCTCTTCCGGTTAATTTGGCCGACTTCCATTGTTGCCCGTCCATTGTTTCCCTTTCTTTTCGACACCACGCAGTCTGCGCGCCCCCTGTGGACTTACATAGAGCAGAAATGATGAGAAAAAGACTGCTGTGTGTATGAGGGTCTCTCTCTCTCTCTCTCTCTTTTTGATTGGCTCCCCCTGGCTTTTTTCGGAAGAGGGCCGGGGGCGCTCTCTTGATCATTGCCTTTTTTGTCCCTTTTTTTGTTTTTCATGTTTGTTCCTTCCTTCCTTCCTTCCACTCTCTCTCTCTCTCTCTGTTTGACGTCCTTTTGTTCGCGTCGCGGATGTCGTGATTAAAGTCGGATCATATCGCGCCGGCTTTACGGAAAAATATATCCGGGCTGCGCTTTACACATCAGTTGGTGATGCTTCGATGCCACTTTTTTTCCCTTAGTTCGCTACAGTACGCGATGGTGTAGTAAAGAATTTTTTTTTTTTTCGCTTTTTTACTGTATAAGTAATTATTTTTAAGTTGTACTGCTCCGCATTGTTTTCCTGTCGGCACTTTTCAAGAAAATATCGCAAGTTACCTGATTTGGGTATATATGTATAAGACAAGCAAACAATTCATAATTTTTTCTTTTTCAACTACAAAATACACTCCATGTGGTAAGGTCCATAGACATATAAGAAAAATAGACTGCTCGTTTTTATGTACAAATGTCATTTGCTCGATGCTGTACTTGCTCTATACTTACTAAGTATATAGTTTTATAACGAAAGACAATCTTGAATCTCGAGTCATTTGTCACCACACTCACCACAATAGCTGATGGCGTACATGTGTTGCTTACTTTGACCGCGTGTAAAAATTTCAACTGAAGAATACAATAAGAGCAGGTATACCTAATTGAATAAAAAAGTTCACTAAAGACTGAGAAAACGATGCTGTCATTACTTTGTTATTCGGCCTTTGTAGGTCCTGTATTCACAACGGTACGCGGATAATTACCTGAGTTAAATAAGTTACCCAAAAAAGAGAGAGGTTAGTAACAATCATAAAAGTTAATTTTACTTCATTACGTGGTAGTAGAGTTACATGAGTAACACTTGTTTCTATTTTTACAGATTTTACATCAAGCTCTATATAGTAAGTTAGATAAATCAATTACTCACTCTGCCAGAATGAATTCGTTGAAACAAATGGAGAACCCATTATGTTGTGGTGATACATACATTACTATGACAAAGTTTTCCTTTCGTTGGAATATACATAATATTGAACATGAGATAAATAGTAATAGCTTTACAATAGAGTCACCAGATTTTATCGATCCGTACAACAAATGTACTTGGGGAGTCTCATTGACCGAACAAAAATACCAACCAACAATATTTTGTATAAAACTTCATTTGAGAAGATATGGTATCAACATGGCAGAAAAAAATTTGTGTGTCATATTAATTACATTGTAAATGATAAAAAATATCAGCCGTACTCTGTGCCGTACGAAAATTATATTAAAAACCCCGAGGACACCAAAAAATCCTATCTAGTAAGTTCGTTGAATCTTGATGCAATCACAAAAGAAAATCCATCGATTGAAGATTTATCCGTGATTGTAACTTTAGGCATAATAATACATACTCATGAAAAATCATGTACCTTAACGCCTTTAAAATGCAAACCACAATTAACATTATTAAATGATATTGAACGAGTTTTCAATCAAAAAGAGTTAACAGATGTTACTCTGGTAGTTAACGGTAAAGATTTGTATGCCCATAAAGTTATATTAGCTGCAAGGAGCCCAGTTTTTTTGGCAATGTTTAAAAATAATTCAATTGAAAAATTGCAAAATAGAGTAGAAATCACTGATTCTAATGTTGATGTAATTGATGAAATGTTGTACTTTATGTACACTGGAAAAACTCATGAGGATGAAACTTTAGTAAGGGGTCTGCTGATTGCAGCAGATAAGTATGATATACCAGAATTGAAAGATATTTGTGTTCAGTGTTTATTTGATAACATCAACGTCACAAATGCGTTGGAAATTTTAATTCTTGCTGATCGACACAGTTGTCCAGAATTGAAAAAAAAAACTTGTGAGTTCATAGTTATGTACAAAGATAATATAATTAATTCAGCAGAATATACAGAACTGAAAAATTCACATCCCAATTTAATGATTGATTTATTTTATAACATTACTGCTACTGAAAAGCCTTAGTTAAACATTATTTTTAACTCCTTTTAGATTTAATGAGAAACAAAAACTATTGAAAAAAATCGTTAAATAATATGTATGTGAAAAATCCTATTCAAACTCTGATTAATCTTTAACAATTTATCATTATTAAGTATTTGATTTAATGGCTTGTTATATAATAACCTTTCAATAAAGATTTTTGTAAAAAATGCTTTGTGTAGTGTTTAACTTTCTATGATTTGATTTTTTCTGACTCCGATTGGATTCATACAAATCACTTTTAGGCCAATAGAGTTCTTTTTCCAAATTCTTCAAACCACAGAGATGCGGATAAAAAAAATTACTCAGAAACACATTGGAAACTTGCAAACCAAAATATTAGATAGGTAAGCAATGCGGTCCTATTTTAATCCCCTTGGAACAAAACTTGTCCCAAGTCCCCTTTCCCTGCGTCACCCGCGAATCTCATCCACCGATACCTTGCAACATCTCCACATCCCAAGTACCCCTTTCAATGCACGAATGTAAACGCAGACCGAAAAAGCCCTTTTTCTTACCCGCCCACGCTCGCCGCCGCAATCACAACGGAAGAAAAACCATCTGAAATTCCACCCGTACGAAAACCAATTTCCAGCGGCGGAACGAAATGATAAGGAAAAAAAAAGAAAGAGATAAGAGAAGGAGGAGGATGAGGCGCTCGAGTAAGTATGTATAACACTTACTGTTTGTATACATGGCAAATCGCAGTTGTTTGTCTCTTCCGTGCACTTGCACGAGCGAAGGAACGAAGAAAAAGGGAAGAAAGAGAAAATAGCGTTGTTACGGAGCCTGGGGCGCGTAAGAAAAAGTGAAAAAAAAGGGGGAAGAAAGAGGTGGGGACGGAGCGCGTGTCGCGGGAGAGGAGGCTTCATTTGCGCGCGAGTCCAAGGACACACGCACGCGGGAGAGTAAAAAATCGCGCTCGAAAGGGATGGGAAGTGCGTCAAAACGAGAGACGGATGGAAGGGCGGAAAATTTTCTTTTTTTTTTTTTTTTTTTCTTCGCTGCAGACAGGGAGTTTTCTCAGCTCGTGCGTATGTGTACACAAAGAGTTGCAGGGGTCGCAACTATCACGTGTATGAATAAGCGAAAAAAAGAAGAAAACAGAGCCGAGACGGGGGTTTTGTAAACGAAGGATTGTTCTCGGCGCAATTTACCTGTCTGCCGCGAGTTGTGATGATTTTTTTCATACGATCGATTACTGAAACGTAAATAATTACAACCACGCGATTGAAGTTGTCAGAGCAGCAACACCGTGCCGCCACAAAAGTGCAAAAAACTTTTGAACAGTAGTTGGTGTAAAGTTATTTCTATTTTAGAGTTAAGTAATCTTAGGTACGAGGGAAAATAAAAGTATATGCAAGTGCGGCGCAAAAGATGACGTGATAAGAAACGCGTGCGAGGCAATAGTTTTGGAAGGGCAAAGTGTACGTGGGGGTGAGTCGCGGAGGGTACGGCGAGAGTGAAAAGTCGAGGAAAGGAAAAAGAAAGCGAACGTGCCCAGAGACCGACGACTCGAGAAAATAATTAAAACGCGTATTCGAGCGAGGACTGATTGTCTGACAAATTTTTTCGCGACGCGTAAAACAACGGAGACGAGTTCGCTTTAACAACACTATGCTCGGTGTAAAATTAAATTGGAAAAAAGAACGTGGATACAGAGAGATAAATTAACCTTTTTTTTTTTTTTTTTTTTTTTTTTTNTTTTTTTTTTTTTTTTTTTTTTTTTTTTTTTTTTTTTTTTTTTTCTCGGCGTACACTACCCCTATTTGCCGTAAGGGTACACAATACCCTTACCCAAAGTTTCGTAGATTTATAAAGCTCCATTGGCCCGTTCATCGTGCGTGTATTTATCGCGCGGGTAAATCGTCTGCGTTTTACTAACCTGCGAAAAGTGAGAGAGAAAGGTATATAGTAAATCAAGCGAACAACTTGGAGTGCCTAATTTATAAGACAATAAAAGTCGATGAACACATCCCAGACTCCGTCGAATTACTCCCTCTTTTTCTTCCCCCTCGCGCCTCGAGAGAGAACTTTTGAAGAATCGCCGTTTTTCGAAAGCTCTCGACGAAGAAAAAAGAAGGAAAAAAAAAAAAAATAGGCCATCGGATGATATTATATCCACCGTGACAGAGTATACAACAAATTCCCCCGGGACACACCTATACGTTATACTACGCGTACTACATTATATTGTCAGGGGTTGGAAAAAAAAAAAAAAAAAAAGAGAGAGAAATGATTATCTTTCAGAGAAGAGGCTCATTACCATGGATTGCGTGCCCGCATAAATCTTCCGCTCACCAGAAAAGTTGACCTTACGAGGAAATCGCTTTCTGTCCCATACGCATCCTAGGGATAAATGAATAAAAAAAAAAAGCTCTCCCTGGCTAATCATTTATAGTTGAGAAACAAAAGACTCTTTACTCAAAAGCGAATCTCATATAACGACTATCAGGATGCCCAAGGCTTATACTTTGCAGTTACACCCCCCGGCGCGTCACTCGCGCTTCGAGCTTACGGGCTATCGATGAAAATTTCAAAAGTTAAATGGGATCCCCGAGACCATATGGCTTGTGGAGGAGGAGGTGTCACTTGGTTTTTTTCCAATAATATCATATTGGACGTCACCTACATGAATATAATGTACTTATCGAAACACGTGAAGTCTTCCCACCAGCCAATCCGTTAAACACACCACCGGCCGACCTTCCACCGAGCCGCATACGAAAGAGCCTGTGTGGGAAAGCGAGAAAGGAAGAAGAAAAAAAAAAGAAAAAAACCAAATGAGGGTCCTTTGCGTGGGAAAAACAACAACCGTGTCCTAATACACTCGAGGGTCTCTTCCGGGGTGCCTGCAATCTCGTTCCTCTTGGCCGCAAGCACCAACAAACGAACGGGGGAAAAGAGAAAAGGAAGAGCACGGGTATGTATAGGTAAGGCATCAACCATCATCGTCTTCCCCGGAAGGCCGTGGCGCCGGCTGGCAAAGCTAGTATGCAGTTTATACAAGCCGGCACTTTTGTGTGTATATAAACACTTGCAAGTGTGGGCAGAGACGTGCCTCGACCGGCGCCGCTTGCCGATCGATACCCCAGGTATATATACGACACTGGCGAAAATTATACGTATACACCTACAGGAGTTTACCTATATGTACTAAGATGTAGTATAGATGTACGAGGGAAAAAGAAAGCGTCGTCCGGGAGATGGAGAGATTGAAACGAGGAGGCATCCCGCTCGCCTGGGGGCATACGTTGCGCAACAGAGGAGGGATATACATACGTATGCATTGTATATACACCTTTTTGCCCCGAGGACCCCGGAACAAGAGCTTCCCCACCCCGGTGTACCTAAATATGGTGGGCTTTGGTTTTTTTTCTCCTCCACTGGTTTACATATTTAAGGGCTAGCTCCGGAAAATATGTTTTCTTATCCCCGGTAATTCTCTCGTACCTATACATAATAATATACATATACGCACAATATTTGATGCCCCGATTTCTATTTTCGGCCTACGGCGCAAACAACACCCACACGATTGTTTTGTCGATATTTTGTTATATCCCACCTGTATGATGTATACAATATCCATATTATAAGGTCCGCGTTCGCGAAATCTGTATAATACTACTGCCGAGTTGTAGGTACACATAGGTACCTACGTGTTTTTGTTTCCTATGTACTGTTTTGCTCGTTATGCAAGCCCCGACAAATCGCGCACGAACGGGGGTGATGGATCGAGGGTTTTGCCCATGAGCACGCGTACACGGGTATACATAAAGGGGTGTGAAAAAAAAAAAATAAACAAATAAAGGAAAAACACTCCATGCAGCAGTGTATTCACAACTCGAGAGCGTACAAAAATAATTGCTGAAAAAAAAACAAGTGCACTGGATGTGCCGGGGAAAGAAAAGCGCAGGGATGGGGCATCGGGGAGAAATAAGACGGACAGCCGGAAATGGAGTAGTCGGAAGAACAATACTTACGTATGTACCTGCATACATCTGTGTTGCAGTGCATGTATGAAACAGAGAGAGAGAGAGAGAAAAGAGACCGAAAGAAAGAGAGATAGAGAGAGCACATAGTATATACAGAGGAAACAGACTCGCTTGAAGTGAAAGTGAAGAAAAGAAAAGAAAGAAAGAAAGGAGGCTAACAAAGGGGCTCCAGAGAGAGAGAGAGAGAGAGGGAGTTTTATATGTATGTATATATGCGGGGGGGGGGGTAGGGGTGGCAAAAAGAAAAAAAAGGGAGGGGGCGCGGAGGGGGAAACGAAATGAACGAGCAAAGTTTCCAAGACACGTAAATCTGATAAAATTAAGCTGGCATTCCATTTTCACTTAATCGGCTCGCGCGTTCCTATATAATACGTATTCCGTGCGGAGCGTGTAACTTCCTTTTCCGCTACCCTGTCGATATCTATATATACATGGGCACCCCCCCATTCCCCCCCCCTGGACCCCCTTTTCTTCAACCAACGATGAGTTGCGCTTCTATAACCCTCCGCGTATATACGAAATATCGGGCATTAGATTCGTGCGTGTGTGGAAGGTATCATGTACCGATATACCAAGTATATGCATTATGTATGTACCCGTTTGAGCTGCGCGGGGAATTAATGTCTCGGTTCTCCCGTAAAGTACAGTAAGGTAACCGTGATGATAAAGTTTGTTCAGTGCGTAACTTGAATGGCACCGCGCCCGATGATGGATGTGCATTTTGTTCCTCGATCGGAAATCGAGAAGGGAGGCGATAACGAGTAATGAAAAGAATCTGTATATACACACACATATATATATATATATATATCCCCAACGAGGGAAAATGTCTGCTAAAGACTCGTTGGCCCTGTCGTTAGCGTTGGGTCACGATTTCAGGGACGCGTGGAAACTTTGAGCTCTCGCAAGCTCCCCACGGAGCTACGGACTTTCAATAAAAACAGCAGCGAGTCTTTGCACTCCACGTATTCCACCCTTTGATTGTAGTCACCTACGCGTCCTATTGTGCGCAAGTGTAAGAAGCTCATTGCTACATGGACATGCAGCCTCTGCCCCCCACCCATGGCGCTCCCTACTTGGGGTGTACTGCCCGGAAGAAATGGCACGTTCTCGATCCCCTTTTGTCCAAGTGGACGCGGTACACATACAGAGAAGGGAGGGCGGAGGATGCGATCATTTATTTTCACGCCTGTCGATGTGGCTGATTGTCTGCCCGGGTTGGCCAGGGGCTGCAGAGGGATCCGTCCCTCGATTGGGGGAAGAAAAACCGCCTGCTTGTATACGCGTGGTAGTCATATACACGTAAGTAGAGGAAAATCACGTTTGTAACGTGCCGGCTGCTCGTTAGCTATGCGAGGGAGTGCGGTTGGGGTGGTTTTTCATGCCACGGTTGCTGCGCGAAAAATCGATTTTACTCTACAAATATTTTTGTTTGATGGGCTTTTTTTTTTTTTTAAGTAAGCGGTGACAAAGGTGTCACTGGGCGATTAAAAAGGGGGCTCGACTCGATCTTCACAAGTTTCTTCTGTCGAGTGATGGATGATTTCTGTATATATACGTTTGGGTTGATGTACCTATATACGTATAAACAATTCCACCGCTTATCACCTCAATTTAATTGAAACAAAAAAAAAGGAGTTATTTATACCGATTCGATCGATATACGTACTGTATACTGGTGCAGGTACGCTTTTGCACATTCATTATAGGAGGGATATACACAAGAGTAGAAGTTCATAGTGGATGGAAACGCAACTGACCGAAGGTATTAGCGGCTACGCCGCGCAAGCAATGACGAGTGATATTTGGACGAGTACGGCGTAGGTATTAATTATTAGAGCAACTGCGTGTGTTTTCATTCATACAATTACACGGTACGGTGATATAATAATCCTCGGAGGGAAATACCAATTTCAGACGGCGTTTAATGTACTCCAACCTCGTCTACTTTTAATCCTCGAATCATCGGATTATTCCTTTTTGCCATTATTCAATTTCAAATGGACATTTTGTGGGTTCCGTATTTCATAAATATATACGTGTATCTTCACGTACAATTTGTTTTAAATTAAATAGTATACACCCACGTGGACCAAGCATGTCGATTTATGATTAGTAGTACTCTATTACTTTTATAATATAGAAAATCACAACGCGCCCTTCTGACCTTTGATGGGTATAATTGTCGAGTTTTGTTTTTTTTCCCCCTTATCTCATAATCAACGGCTGCACCGTTATTAAGAATTTCCTTTGTTTGACGCGACCATTATGTCTTTCATAAACAGGTTTTGCGTGGGTCGTAATTACACTTGCCTTGCCTTATTAAATTTTCATTTTGGAAAAGTGAAGGCACTCTTGTTACGTCTTTTTATTAAAAAATCTCAGGTTTTCTCATTACGTGTACATATACATGTACCTTCGATCGTATACCTAAATCGTATAATATTCACCAGTGACAAATAATAGTCTTTATATGATACTTACTCTGATGAAATACTTTTTTTTTTTTTATTGGAGAGAACAATTTTGTTATTAAAATCTATTGTGCATAAGTATAGTGTAAAATAAAATATTTACATAATTTTCTTCGTCATCTTTTTTTTATCAATTTCTGCTCTTAATGGTATATTTTTAGTAATTAAAGACATTCTTAAAATCCAATTAATACTCTGTCATAATATTGTTTTTTTTCCTTATCTCCGGTCGGAAAAAGAAAATCGATAACGCAAACGTTACTTGGACGAGTGAAGCCCCTTGGCTGGTTATATCTATAAAGTGACATATTTCTATACTACTATCTCTTATCCGGGCGTTAATAGTCTGTGAAACGTAAAAAAAATTGTTTTATAATTGATTTTTTTTTTCGTTTATCAACGAACTTGCTCTACTGACCAATATTTTTTTATCTTAATTGTCGTTATGTCGAATTAAAAAAAACGTGACTTTTACACAAATAATTATTTCTGGGTACCATTATTTTCCGAAACTACTATTATCGTATGTATAGCGATCAGAAACATGTTTACCCCATGAAGCTCTTTTTGAGCAAATCAATGATGAAAAATTCTAAAGGGGTGAACATATCAGCATGATTAAAGAAAATATCGAAAAAGCGTAAGTTATTAACTCATGCATGGAAAATCGATTTATTTTGTAAATATAGATTCCCCGAAACTCTCCAATTATTGGTAAATCAAGAATAGCGCTGTCGTGCATTTTTAACGCACCTCGTGCTCTACGTAATAGAGAAAATTAATTTCTGACTGATGGTACGCAATTACCAATTAATGGACAAACTCAGTCACATTTGCGTGTACTTATAACGTCGCGTTTCGTAAATATATGAAAAATTGTCTGGCTTTTGTGCTATTTTTTGTTTCCCAGTCCAAATCGATAAATGGCCCAACGAGATAAAATTTATGCATTGGCCCACTTGGTGCGTCGACTTGTTTTAAAATAAAAATAAATGCAAATTAAAAAAATCGATTGAACGACGCTTCAGGAGCCTCTCGCTTGAGCTCTTTAATAACCCTCGACAAGACGCTGCAGGGAGACAACGTATACCAACTCGAGCAGATACCCTATAAGCCGAGATTGACCGCTCCCGTACCTGTAGACGTACATACATATATTTTCGTCATCGACTGTTTGTTTTCAATTAGCCACGGCATTCTCTCCTGTCTCTTACACCCCTATTTAGATTTTTACCCAACCAATGGGTGTGAACTAAGATTTGAAATTGGCAGCGGATTACGGGGAATATTGTTGAATGGGTTTCGTGCTACCGACCACCTGCTCTTGAAAAAACATTGATAAAGATAATGTCGAAGATCGGCCGGATAGGAGACGCATTTCCACAGACGGTAGATTAGATAGCGAGAAAGCGACAGCCGATTTCTTCCGTCAACACAGAGTATCTCGCATTGCATCAACCGAAAGAAAGAAAAAAAAAAATGCACTCACATTATTGTAATTGCCAATATTTTTTTATGAAAAAACAATGTGCGAAGACGCGGCACGGTGTTGCACTTTTTTTTCCCCTCATCGTCCCATAAACGATAGTTGAAATTGCGTCGCGGATTAACCGTGACATTGTAGTTTCTGCATCGGCGGTTACGCCACGCGTCAAGTAGGCACATGCATACCCTTATCTCCGATCGTCCGATCCGATTGCGGCAAATCGTAGCAACGACATTTTTTTTTGCGATGCGGAAGATAGCCGTTGGGTATAAATCAGCCGCGAGTGGCGATGCTGCACCTACACTCCGCAAAAATGGCTCCCTCCGCGATAGTCCTCGCTTCCCTTCTGGCGCTCGTCCAGGCCGGTAAGTCCAACATACACACGCACTGTCGTGGGTGATGGTCAATTTCCACTTTTGACGTAGGTCCCTTCGTCGGTCTGAGCATCCCTACCTTGGGCCCACGCATAACCGGAGGCCGGAACGCCATCAAGGGCGAGTTCCCGCACCAGGTGTCCCTCCAGTGGTCGGCCACCCCAACGGGTGCTCCCAAGCACTTTTGCGCGGGCACGATATTACAGCCCACCTGGATACTGACCGCCGGCCACTGCGTCCACGCGGTCCCGCCTTTTGGGAACTTTGTCGTCAAGGCCGGCAAGCACAACATCAGCGCGCACGAGTCCACCGAGCAAACGGCCCAGGTCCAGAGGAGCATCGTCCACGAGGACTACCCGGGGTAGGCTGTTACTTACTGCACACAGCCACACTTTCCTTTGTTCTCTCTATATGTATATATATATATATATATAACGTCGTATGTGCGTTTATAGGAACGTGGCACCGAACGACATAGCGCTGCTGAGGCTCAGGACGCCCCTGAGGGAGAACCAGTACGTGAGGAGGATAAGCCTCCCGAGGCCGGACGTCCTGCCCACGGGTAGGCTCGAGTTGTCCGGCTGGGGTTCGGTGTCCCTGACCAGCGGGCCCGTTTATCCGGACATCCTGCAGAAGGTCAACCTGACGGTCGTCGACTTGGCCACCTGTAGGCGCATGATCGAGCGCCTCACCGGCTCCGCGCCCCTGGCGAACTCGAACCTGTGCACTGGACCGCTCACCGGGGGTATATCAGCGTGCAGCGTGAGTACATCCCCCTTTTTTCCTTTTTTTCATCTTTTTTTTTTTTTTTCTTTTTTTTACCATATCGGGGTGATTTTTTTACAGGGTGACTCTGGCGGCCCGCTGATCAAGAATAATGGCACTCGCAAGGAAATCGTGGGCGTAGTCTCGTGGGGGTGAGTTGACGAGTCACTTTATACACGTGATTCCGCGAGGTAAAATACTAAAGACCATATGTCGTTTTTTTTTTTTTGTTTTTTTGTGGAATCGCTCGTAAACACTCACCTTTAGATTTAATTTTGAAAAAAAAAAAAAAAAAGAGAAAAAAAAGAGAAACTAACGTAAAAATAACGCAAATTGCAGGATCGTGCCGTGCGGGACGCGCAACGCGCCCTCGGTCTTCACGAGAGTGTCCGCCTACGTGGGCTGGATAAACAACAAAATCAATGGCAACTACGAGGCGTACCTCGACACGCTCGTTTGAAAGCTCAACCAAACGACTCTCGCCTACATAGATTTCTCACTACTCGTTTGTGCAAATAAATAAATAAATACACACGGTACATATATATAATATATTATGTATATTCTGTATCTACACCCATCTTCTCCCAACCCTCCCACCGTTCCTACGTACGTGTAAAAATGTCTTGGAAACGCAAGTACGACGCACTCGCGCGATATGCAGGTATCGATCCCCGCCAACGTATTTTTGTAATATCGTACCGCGATGACGATTGATGTGCGAGAAAAAAAAAAAAAAAAAAAAAAAAAAAAAAATTGAAAACCCTCTGGTTGTTGGAATGGGAGAAAGTAAGTACACAGGTACGGGTTAAACTCCCGAAACAGTATTGCCCTGGTTATGGTGCACAAAAGAGCGGAAGATTAAAAGACAAGGCACAGCTTGCAGCGAGTACGGTGCGTAAGCTCCGTCCACGTGGATGACGTCATAGCGATACAGAGGAGAACGTCGATGCCTCGGAGCCAATGAACCGGCTGAAATATTAAGTGGGTGCAAAGACCCGGCCACCACCGGCTATAGATGTTACCTATATAACATAGACGTAAAACGCGCAGGTTGATAGACCGACTGTATATTACAATACACGTGACGAGTGTGGGCTGACGACGCGTGACGCGGAGCTTTCTTTATACGGAGCTTTTGTTGTCTTCGCAAGCCTCTTTTCTCCAACCCAACGTGTATACGTACACACTGTATATCCGATACAGGCACTACGCACACGGCGTATAATATACATTATTCTACATCAATAGATATATCGCCAAATCCTCGTTTAAATATAATTCGCACATACGCGCGTGTTAACGTACTATATAAGCAGTGTCGAGTTGTATACACATATAACAATACATACTTATTCATCGAAGCTATACGTATACATGCAAGTTTCACACGCGTACACATGGCCGCAAGCTGCCTTTTCCGCTGAGCTTTCGTTTTTCGCTTCTGTCGCTGGCACGGGCTCGCTACCCTCTTTTGTTTTTTATATCATCCAGCGTGGGGGGGGGGGAGGGGTGCCAAGCTATGCATTATTCCGAAGCAGAAGCGCTGCAGCTGAATTATAATACACCGCAGGCTTTTATCCGCGCGGCTTCGGATTGCTCCGTTACGCGTCGCGACAGCCGAGATATTAGCTGACTCTGGGAATTTTCGGCGGGGATCTGCTTTGCACTTTTTACCCATCAGCCACTTCTGAAGTATACAGGCACACCCTATAGGTGTATTCGTTTAATTTTTTCGCTCCGTAAACACAGACGAGGGGGCGAAACAGTACAACCGTCATCAGCGGTATGACGTATACACGCACAAGAGAAGGGAAAGATGATCATATCGGGGGAAAAACAGTCCAGATGCCTCGTGCGCCCGATCGTGCAGTATGCGGTGTATTTTTCAATGAACGTGCAAGGCTCGGAGACGCGGCTGTTCTCCGTACACATATGTAACATCGACAATGGGACAAACGCGTAAGGATATACTGCACGTGAAACGCGGCGCGGCTTTGTCAGTCCGATAACAATATACATATGGCAGGGATGCGTATTTGTACGGAATTCATAAGAACTAGCGGAGGTTTCCTGCAAAATTCGTTTTTATTAATCCATAGAAGGTACGGCTGTACAAACTAATAATTTCAATGCTCTTACATACATTATAGGCAGGGAGTCAAGGTTCTCGGCGCTTAATTTCCCACGCGCCTGTACATACATACATACATACACATCTCCAGTGTGTCGTTGCGCACAGTTTGCCGACTCGCTCAATTTGCGTTCTGCGGGCATATATTCCCGGCTCGATACGATGACGTACACACCAGCCTCCGTTGCGCGACCACGTGTACGTGTACAACACCGCGCTTATACCTTGCCTATACATATAGCTAATTCACGGGAGTAAGGTCCGCATCATCGGACCCATACGTCTCTACATCACGCGCGTGGGCACACACCCCTACGTACACGCGGCTAATGGTTATTGTAACGAGCTTGCGACCCGTCGAGATTTACCGCTCAGCCGATATTATACTATGCTCCACGGGTGGAAGGGTGGCTTCGTTTGTGCATAATTTTTCACTCTCGTAATGCTTTTGTCACCGCGACAAAACAGGTATAAATGCACGTTACAACAGAATTTATTATCTCGATTTCAGGGAGAGGGGGGTTGGTATATAACATCGGCAAGTGTGTGTACAACGCGCGACTCGACGCTCGAGGCCGGTTTGAAAAATTCACGCGGGTGTTTTCTTCATGGGTGTCGTGGCCTTTCTGTGGTACAATCCCCTCGACTCGCCCCTCGGTGTCCTCGAGCGGCTCCTCAGGGGCTGCTCCTGTGGATCAAACGCGCGTATTTTACTACATCAAGCTCTGATAAAGTGAGAAGTAGGAAAAAAAAAAAAAAAAAAAAAGAATTCGGAGGTGAATCGAAGCGTCGGGACTGTGGAAATTATTCCGGCACTCCGGTCGCACTTTCGAGGGAAACAGTACACCGAATTATCAATTACAGATGTTTTTTTTTTTGGGACAAAGCTGCAGTTAATATTACATACCGAATCTGCAAAATGTACATTTACCGGGGACTCGAAAAATTTGGGTCACCCGATGAAATCACTGCGAATTCAAGTTTTACCTTGAAAGGCTTGAGGGTGGTTTTTTGAGCGAGGAGAAATTAAAAAAAATCAACACTAGTCGCTCAAAAAGTTGACGGGACTGGTGGAAAATCCGAGCGTGGGTGTATGTGGACACTCGTAAGCGGAGGTACAGTTTGCGTTAAAAATCTTCAAAAACCCATTAACGGAAAAGAATTTCCTCTTTTTTGAAGATTCAACTTACGAGGTAAAAATGTTCTGGGGGGAAAAAAAGAAAGAAAAAGGCAAGGGAAGCCAAGAACCGAAGGCCAGAGCAGGGAGTAAAATTCAATAACCCTCGAAACGTACTTTCAGGGGAGAATGATCTTTTATTTGCCGGCGAATGAAAAAGGAGGGGCACACGGGAGCGATTTTCCAAGTTGTTTGAACAGACTTTACCGTGATTGCACGTTTTAGAAATCGCATGGGGGGGGGGAGATCGATATTTGCCTCCGTGTACACAACCTCCCTATTCCTCGGCAGCGCGCAATAAAAGGCAACGCGAGCTCCGAAAGTGCATGTATAATGGAATTGGAAATTCCTCTCCCCGAGACCGAGAATGATTTTTCCCACTTTATCTATGTGTGCGTGGTTCTAACGAAGCGCCATTTCGAGGGTGAATTTTTCGATAATCTAACCGCGGGGGTGCCATCGGGGGTTTTAAAAATCAAGGAGGACAAACAAAACGAAAGTTTCCATCACCGGTGAGCTCAGGAGCGTGGACGTGCTGTTGATGCGGCTGTTGATGAACTTGACTTCCAACTGATATTTGTGGATCTGCAAACGACGTTTTATATCATGAATATATGCGTATGATTTAGCCGATTACCCCTCGTAAACCGCGTACTCACCTCTTTTTTCGTGTTTTTCATATACGTCTCCATTTGCTGCAGCTGAAAAAAAAATTTGGCTGATTAATCTTCAAACTAAAGGATGTCAAAAGGATTGAAACAAAAGAAAAAACAAGAATTTGTTGTCTCCCTTTGGATTAATTTCATCCCCCAAATGCGACCAAGCCGAGACACAATGACCCAATGCAAATTGCAACTTCAGACGCACTCCCACCCCCTTTTTCCTTCCCCCCGTATATATATATATATATAAAGGGTACTGTCGTCTCATCCCCCCAATTCACGACTGCACAGGCAAACCCTCGAAAAAAAGCCTTTCATTTAAAATACAGCCAAGTCGGCTTTTGCTCGTACACGTAAATGATTACATTAGCGCGAGCGACTAAAATGGGACGCGTCGCGCTCTATACACGTATACGTTCAACATAATATAACAATAACGTACGGTACGACAGTCGCGTTGTACGTAACGCGGGTACTTACGTGCTCCCTCACGCACGTGTAATTCGGCTCGACTTCCATCACGCTCTCCGTGCGCGGCAGCGTCTACAACAGACAAGTAATATGTTTAATTGTCGCGTTGCGACTCCCGTTGTGTACATGTGTATATATATATATATATATCTCTCTCACCTTTTTCGACTGGTCGCTGAGCTCCCAGAATTTCTTCGAGTTCCTCAAGAAGATGGACCAATTCTGCAACACACAAGCTCGAACAATCCATTTATATGTATTGTATATATGTATATTATATATACATGGCGTGTGCCCCTTCAGTACCCGTAGTGCTCCGTCTCGTCATTTTCCCCGACAAAAGCGCAGTACGCGTAATCCGCGGCTTAAAATCCGGCCCATCGAAAAAAAAAAAAAAAAAAAAAAAAAAAAAAAAAAAAAAATCGCTGCCCCAGTTCCCGAGGCGCGTGCAATACCGCGCCAAAAAGCTCATTCCATCCCTCCTCTAGCGCTCTGGAGTTCCCAAAAAAAAAGTCGCTCAAATCCGCGCTAACACGGATGCCCGTACACACCTGTCTCACGAGTTCACCCACATGGGTCCCCCGTGAGCGCTTTTGGGATGCTTGCAGAGAAAAAAAAAAAAAAAAAAAAAAAAAAAAAAAAAAAAAAAAAAAAAAATTGAAAACCCTCTGGTTGTTGGAATGGGAGAAAGTAAGTACACAGGTACGGGTTAAACTCCCGAAACAGTATTGCCCTGGTTATGGTGCACAAAAGAGCGGAAGATTAAAAGACAAGGCACAGCTTGCANGAAAAAAAAAAAAAAAAAAAAAAAAAAAAAAAGACGACGGTGTACAATCAGCGAGAAAGTTGGCCGCGTGCGTAAGCCGGTCTGAGCTTGGAAAAATGGGCTCGGGCTTCGGTTCAAAAATGAAAAAACAAAAAAAAAAGCGTACAGCTGCAGAAGGAACGAGCATGTAGGAGTACGTCGAAATTCGGCTGTCGGTCCATAGTCCACGCGTATATGGTACACCCGAACGGGAGATAAAGGCGGGGCACGAGTGTACATATATATACCGTTCTCTTTTCAGGGGATGGAGGGGGAAGCCAAGCTTGCAATCCAGGGGATGGATACAGGCGGCCTGTCTCTCTTTTTCGCCTCTCGGTGTACAAGCCCGTGTTGACACACATATTCACGAGAGAGAGAGAGAGAGAGAGAGAGAGAGAGACTGCACACACTTGCTTTCATGCCTCCGCATAAAAAGCGATATTAAAGTTTCGTCCCCCGCGGCTGGGTTTTTCTCGGTCCCCTTTGCTCGTCCTTCCTCCTCCTCCTACACCTTATTCTTCGGGGCGAGCAAGCACTCGTGTGCATTTTCTCCCCTTCCTCGTCCGTGGGATCATTTTCCCTCTTCCATTTTCACTCCCTAACCCCCCCCCCAGTAGCTCATTCGCACGTTTTATTTACATCCCTCCCCTTTTGCCTTTCCTCAATCCCAACGTCTTTTTCTCCAATTGGAGAACAAACGTATACCCCATTCCCGGGATATTTACAATCTCCTCGGATATTATACTAATTAGTAAATAAATATATTGTCTCTATAACGCGCGTGTATTTACGTTACGCGAAATGGAGTATATGTGCATACTATGGAATTCCTTCTAATTAGGCCAACGAAACTCGGGGCAGTTTATGCATACCACCTTGTAATATACATAATATGCGACGTTACACGCAAACACACGCCATCGAGGACGCGTAATAATACATACACGTGTTCGATCGGTTGATCGCATTACTGCACGCGCGGGCTCCATCTGTATATAATACGTATATCGTTAAGATGCTCGGAATTCCAAAGTACGCCAACTCGTGGGACATATATATATATATATTTGTAGGTTCGAAGGTTGATGCGAGTTTGATTCTCGCGAGACGTTGTTTTCAGGAGGTTTGATTGTTATTTCTCCCCCCTTCGGCTGGGAATTCCGTGAAATCGACGCGCGAAAAATGACTTTTCGATCTCGTATCGGTAAAGGATAGGATTTATATTACTTGAGGAAAAAATAAATAATATCGTAGGGCCGTGATTCATCTGAACCTTTATTTTTACCGCGAAAGAAAAAAAGCGAGAAAAGTCCAGAGTAGTGGAAATGGAAGCACCGGGTAAAGTATAAACTTTTACTTTTTTTTATATCTTCTTTTTCGACACTTGAGGACATCGGTGTGCTGCGGTTGAAAATCATTTATACGTATATATACGTGCAGGGTAAGTCAGGGAGGGTGCGCGAAGCGAGTAGTGTATATATAACTGTTGGTGGTTTTCCAGAACAAAGCGTCGGTGGACAAATGGACAGCCTCGAAATGCGTCAAAGACTCGGAGAGATGGTGAGAGAGAGAGAGAAGATCGAGATACATGTGTGACGTTGGCGCGTTGAGCGACCCACTTGTGTGCTTTCTTCCTTTCAGAGACGAGAAAACGCGGGTACTCGTACACGTGTGTGTGTGTGTGAGGGGACTACTCGAAAGCTCACCCATCGGTGTCTTTAATGGATTTTCAGGGAGCTCTTCTGTACCGCCTGGCCGGTATATACCAAGTGTGCCTTGAATTAATTACAGCGAGCCTTTGACTCGCGGATACTTTTTTTTTTTTTTTTTTTTTCCTTGTAGAGGGGGTTTTTTCGCTCGATTTACTCTCCGAGGGTACGGATATCGGTAGGTTTTTGAAACAACGTGGGTGTACTCACGTTTACCGTGTAGGCGAAGACGAGGACGATGAGAAAGCTGGTCAGGGTGGTCATGGGTCCGCAGTAGGGGCCAAAGTTGAATAGGGTCCTGAAGTACCCATCGGCTACCAAAAAGTTGTATACCTGCAATTTTTTTTTTTTTTTTTTTTTCAGGTCGTTTGGTTCATGCGTAAATTTTGGAACCTCAATTGCGCTGTTCCAGCCAAAAAAAGGCATAGAAAAGTGAGGACTGATCTCGTGGCCTTACGAGGGTGGTCCACAGATCGGTTGGATGGGCGTATTGGCGCAGCAATCGGGTGTCGTCCATGTTTGTTATCCTTTTTCTCTAATTTGATCTATTTGTTATTGTTTTGTGTTACTGTGTCATTTAACCAATAATTTTGAACTGCAAATAATCACGAAGTTGGCCGCAATACATAACCGACGCCAAGCGCTGCAAAAGTCAAAGAGAAAAAAGTTACGGCTTTGTCCGCAACAACCATCGAAAAATAGTTGACTGACCGTGTGTTCCAGTAGCGCTCTCCGACAACTTACCGACAACTTAAACATGACGCAAGATATCGTAAGACATAATTAAGTTGTCGGTAAGTTGTCGGAGAGCGTTACTGGTACACACCCTGAATTTCACACTCGATTGTCAACCCTTTTTCGACTCGCATATTACCACTTCAAATCATATTTTATCTATTAATTATTATTTTTTTTTTTTTTATTAACGTGCCCACGAAATTATCTCCTAATAGCTACTTTTAAATAGCTCTGACTTTTTATTTCTTTATCCGCACTCGACGAATGTTATAAAAAAGCGCACGTGCGCGCTCAAGCGTAATAAAAAATAATGAAAAAAAATAAAAAATTCCATCTCTCATTACACATATGGACGAGTCCGCAAATTAATCAACATTGATTATTCAGACAAGAGCTCATCATCCCGTCCACGCATAAACCGAGAAACATCAATCATCAATTGCAGCAACCGCAGCCCATCAGTGGTATTTTTTTCTCGATACCACTCGATATATATATATATATATACATACATACTTACGTGGGTCGATCGTCGCATGCAAATAAGTCCCGCGCGGAAACGTCAATACAATTATAATTATAGAGCTATACTTGCAGGAGCTCTCGGGCGCAATAAATAATGCGAGCGGCAAAAGACTCGGCTCTCTCGCGTCCTCCCCTCCATTCGGCCCTTGGAGGCGCGCGTTGCTTGGCTCGCTTGTTTGCTCCAACGATACGCATTAGGAATTGATGGCACCGATCGAGGCTAAAGATATTGTTCTCGGCGTCTTACTCCTCGTGCCGTTTAGAGCGTAATGATGTTTCTTTTTTTTTTTTTTTTTTTTTTTTTTTTTTTTTTTTTTTCATGAATATACCGAGAGGAAAAAGTTATTGACATTTCAGAAAAAATTACATTCTGCACGGTATAAATCGAATGCAAGCTGTCAATAAAAGGGAAAAGTTTTAACAGTAAACATTTCTACGCGGGAAAGTAAAATTTACTAACTGATCCTTTTAAGGTTTACTGCTCCAGCGTGGTTATTTTTACTGTTAAAATTAATGGGAGGTTTTTTTTTTTTTTTTTTTTTTTTTTTTTTTTTTTTTTTTTTTTTTTTTTTTCCTGGTGCACTTGAGTGCAATGAATCTTGGAATACTTACTTGGAAGGGCCATTCCGAATGAAGACTTTTGTTCGAAACACATGAATAAACCGCTTGTCTAAATAAAAATGTATTATAATTTCTTGTGGTTTGTTCTAATTATACTAAGTAATTTAATTGTGATGGGTAGAAATAGCGCTTACATTTACTTTGGTGTTTTAGGTACTTCAAAGGCATAAAAATTTAAAACAACTATTTGACCATCAATAAATCCCAGATTACAGTATACGTCGCTCTCGTCGTTTGTATGGAAAAGATAAAGGCCTTTAATGTGATTTTAATCAAAGTTCGGGATTATCTTATCATACTAACCAAATTAAATAAAAAAAATAAAAAAATATAATCATGTGGTTGTTGCAGCTTCTCTAAAATAAACAATGCAAAATAAATAAACGGTAGTACTGTGTACATTTACGTACTTTGGCGTTACGACACGTGCGTGCGTATTTTAAGCGAGTCAATGTTTGCAAGCGTAAACTAATACGATAAGCCGCGGGTGAGCAGAAGCTTCGATTTCAAAGCTACCGACTATGGCACATCTCCCTCTTGCAATGTTTGTTACGTTCGCGCGATCAAACACTCGTCTCTAATAATACACGAGTTTTTTTTTTTTTTTTTTTTTTTTTTTTTTGTAAAATCCGAAAAAAGTTGCAGTTGACAACAAAGTTCGTAAAATTACAAGGTGTACATTTTGAAAAAAAAAAAAAAAAAAAAAAAACATGAAAAGAATACCCCTGGCTCAATGAACTCGTAAAAAAAAACAAAAGCACACCAAACAAAAGCCCGACAGCTCCGATTTTCTCCTCGGCTCCACATAACCCGAAATTCCCAGCCGACGAAAGAGGTGTCAATAATTTTTCTAGCCACTTATAAAGTACCAATTGTGAAAAAAAAAAAAAAATTAGATAAGAGAAAAATGTGCGACAAGAGCAAATGCTGTTGCAAGAAAAAGGTCGGTCAGGTGGACCAGGCAACCCTCCAGAAGCTCCAGGCCCAGTACGACGAGTTCTCCAAAAAGGAGAGCGGCTCGCTCCTCAAGAAGCACCTCACCCGCGAGATCTTCGACAAGATCAAGGTAACGTGGTGAAAACTCAAGGCGTGCGAGAAAAAAAAAAAAAAAAAAAAAAAAAAAAAAAAAAACCCATCGCTACCCTCAGACGCGCAAGACGCGCTTCAACTCGTCCCTGTTGGACGTGATCCAGTCGGGGCTGCAAAATCCTGACTCGGGCGTGGGACTGTACGCGAGCGACCCCGACGCCTACTCGGTCTTCGCCCCGCTCTTCGACCCCGTGATCGACGACTACCACGGCGGCTTCAAACCCACCGACGAGCACCCCGCCCGCGACTTTGGCGACCCCGCGAGCCTCTCGAAACTCGATCCCAACAACAAGTACATAATATCGACTCGCGTCCGCGTGGCTCGATCCCTCGAGAACTTCCCCTTCAACCCCACCATGAGCAAGGAGCACTACCTCCAGATACAGGACAAGGTACGGCAAACAGAAAAAAAAGAAAAAAAATTACAACAAGCCCTATAGGTGCCGTATGGACACGTAAATGACTTGCGTCTTCAACAGCTGTGCAAGGCACTGACCTCCCTGGACGGGGAGCACAAGGGCGAGTACCACCCGCTGTGCGGCATGGACGAGTCGACCAAGAAACAATTGATCGACGACCACTATCTGTTCAAGGAGGGCGACCGTTTCCTACAGGCGGCCCGAGCTTGCGAGCACTGGCCGATAGGTGAGTAGTGCTGGACGCGCGGAAAATTGAAAAAACAACATACTCTCCCGCTCGTGTTTCCCTTTTTTTTTTTTTTTTTTTTTTTTTTTTTTTTTTCTTTCGTTTGCTCCTTGGCCCGTTTGTCACAAGGTCCCTCCGGGCTCTTTGGCTCGTTGCGCAAAAGTTCCGAGACGCTTTTTCTTGCGCCTAGTTTATTGTTTTATGGCTCGACAAACAAATGTATCAAGATGCCCTGGCTAGCTTCGATTACGGGGAACAAAAAAAGAAAAAGGGAATTTGGCCGCCTTTTCCGCCAAACTCGCACGCGTGGGTATTTTTCATCGCCCGGCAACTTTTTCATCCGCCCGAACTTTTGCATCTCCAGAGATTGAAAACAATCGCCTCATCTCTCCCCCCCCCCCCATCCTTGTGATTCTCGATCGCCGGCCCACTTCTTCTTCTTCCGTTGTGCCGGCGGGAGAAAAGAAAAACAACAACAAGCGCACGAAAACAGCAAGAAAAGCTGTCCAAGTTTCGTTTTGGCGGCGCTTTTTCCCCTCGATGCCGGTGCGCGAAGAGAAAGATTGCTCGACGAGGGAGGGGAAGCCGCAAACTAGATTACCGGGGACTTTTGGCACTCGGGACCTTTTTTTTGGCTTTTCTTGCTCTTTTACGAGTTTATTAAGTCTCGGGGTGAAAGAGGGGGGGGGTGGATTTTTGTCGAAACAACTTTGAGCCTCTCGGAGGGTATTTCTGCGCTTGCACGCTCGAGCAGAGAGTAATACCCCGGGGATTGAATTGGCGCTGAGATGGGCACTCGTTCTGCGAATTGGAAGTTTAATGAAGCGAGTTTATGTGGCTGGGGAGAGGCTCGGGCTGATTTTTTGAAAATATCAAGTGTTTTTCTACTTTGTCAGTTAAATGGATGATTTTTGCATCGATACTATGAACGAGTTGATGGTCGATGCTATTTAAAAACTGAATGAATGAACAAAAATTCAGCATCTGCACTTGAATTTTAATGGATTTTTCATTTTCAAATAGCCGTAAATTTCGATGAAAAGCAAAACGAAAAGGAGCAACATTTTTTGATACGTGCTGCTTATTTTCAACTTTCGTCGCTGTATAACAATCAATGTAGCTGCGATACAAGTATGGTACGTTAACCCAAAAAATCAGCTGAAACGTCCTAAATCTGAAGTATCCATGTTCATATCATACATACACTTTTTGCAATAGTAGGTAATCCTTGTTGATCAAGATTTTTTTTTCATCTCGGAAGCGTTTGTAATTCATTTCAACCTTGACGAGTACCCGCTAAAAACAAACTGATACGAAGACGATGATTGGAAAGTCTTTTTTTTAGTGTTTAAGCCATTTTCTGACATAATGGCTGGAATATCATAACTTTGGATTCGGTGTGTCCAATTGCTTATATCAGCCGAGGAATACAAGTAAAAAAAGTATCTCCGTCGTGATATTTTCAATTACTTCATCAGTGGCGTACACGTATTTCACGTATCCTAGATTAAAGCGCTAATTGAAAAGTCTTTGTTTAAAATTGAAGTAATTTTTTCCTACCTCGAGGCGTTTTTCATGTCAATTGTCCCTCGGGTCGAAAAATAGCCCTAGTAGCGATGCTGCTTCTGTAAAATTACTGTTCCGTGAGACTAACTGGGACTTCATTGTTTGCCACGAAACATAATACAGCTTACGGAATTTAAACTAAAACAAGTTTATTTTAGGAAATGAAGAATACTTTGATATCGTTTTTTTAAGCAATGAATTTTTCGTTTACTAAAAAATTATTTGGGAGGTATAGTGTTATTAGAAATAAATATAAATATCGAGTCAGAGACATTACCCCAATTTGAAATCATAAATAAAGAACCTTAAATTTAGTAACGCAGTAACGAATGATGGGAAGAAATAAAAACAACAATAAATAAATAAAATTAAAATAAATTAAAGTTCATGGAAAAATTATTATTGATTTACTTGTACGAAATCAGTAACGTAACAATTTATTTGTTAAATTTATGATTGTTGTTTTGATGTTTGACATGTTAGTCACATGCAACAGATTATTTTTTTGCATCTTTGNTTGATCAATCGTAACTATCAAAATAAATAAAATTAAAATAAATTAAAGTTCATGGAAAAATTATTATTGATTTACTTGTACGAAATCAGTAACGTAACAATTTATTTGTTAAATTTATGATTGTTGTTTTGATGTTTGACATGTTAGTCACATGCAACAGATTATTTTTTTGCATCTTTGTTTCAAACAATTGAACTTCATCGTTCGGGAAATATATTGAAATTAAACAAAGCCCTCACCAGATCCCCAGACGAATGCACATATTTCTCATCTTGTCCGTCGGTACCGAGGTGGAAATAAAAATGAAAAGCCGCTAGCGAGCGGGGATAAATTATTTCTAACGAGTCGTAAAAACAAAAGAATAAATCGCCCGTACAGCACAGATATATCCTAAACCGGTGTGTTCCGTGGAGCACTTTCTTCCTCTTTTCTTCTGTCCCAAGTCGAAAGGGGTGGTAACCAAGCAAGTGTTTGTGATCAGAAAAAAAAAAAATTGCCAGAGAAAACGAAAAGAAAAAGAGGGCCGCCGATCGAAAGAAAAGCGGAGAACGAGCAACGTCAGAGCGAGCGGAAAATCGGAATTGTGCTTTTCCATCCTGGCGCAACTCGGGGGATAATTGGATTCGCGCGAGCGAGCGCGGCCATCAGCCATTCGCAAAACGCTTTACTTGCGCGTTGCTTATGAATGTGGTTTAGGTTAAAAAAAAAAAATTATTCGACTCTTCAGGCACGGCTGCTCCTCGGGACTGACTCGTATGTACATCTTCGCTGGAACAAAAAAATGGAGCACCACATAAAGTCACTGTTTAGACCGTGATGTACGAGGGTAGAAATGTATTTGCAGAGTCTTGGTTGATACGAGCGTTTTATTGATTCTTCAAACTGAGTTTTTTCTATTATTGCTTAAACATTTCAATGTGTTTCCGTGAAAATATTTATGTATTTATCATCATATGTTAGGTGAATAGCTTCGTTTTCGTGCTTCAATCTCACGTTTTACAGTTCAGGATTAGAGAGAAAGTTTTAGAAATAAAAAATACAACTTTTTAGTATGTATACATATATGAGAAATTACATAAGAAAAAATTTGTTTAACGAGAACTACTTTTTCGTGTATTTTATCAAGTTTTAACTGTTGATTTAATCAACTATTTTAATGCATCACCGATTATTCAGGCAAAAAAATTAGGTAAAATTAAAATTCAACGTATCATTACTTTCATTGAAAATTGACGCTTCCCCAATACAATACTGCAATAAAATAATAATAATAAAGTTTAAATAAATTGTTGGTTTTATTATTGAGATCAATTCAACAGCTCAATACCTTGATTGTTTGGTGCCAACAGCAGAGAAAAAAAAATTCTAATAAAATTCCTTGGGGTTCTCGACACACCTTTTTTTATACTTATAAAAATCTAGTCGTTTTCATTATTATATTATGCTCAAAAAACTGCTACTGCTGAGAGAACTTCTTGACAGAACTTGAGAAGAGTTTTATTATGCCATCTAGGCGTTTTTCGTGGATATTTTGACGTTTACAGGTCCCTCGATAGGAAAAACAACATTAGCCACACAATCGCCATACAACCGGAGGCTACGCTACGGTCCCTCGGGCTGCAACGTAATATATAGTCCTGATGGCTCTTGTACGACGAAAACAATTGTTTGTCTCATTAAAATAGCTTATGCAGTAACGATTAGACAATGTGTGACAAAATATAAGTAATCACACATTCGTGGGTCAAATGTTTTTCCAATTGCCTACATATATGTAACGGAGGCAACTTTGGCATTATAAAAAAAACGAAAAAAAAAAAAAAAAAAAAAAAAAAAAAAAAAAAAAAAAAAAAAAAAAAAAAAACAAAACGGTATCCTTGCTACCATAGAATCAAATATATATTTTTCAGGCCGCGGCATCTTCTTCAACAAGGACAAAAGCCTGCTGGCCTGGGTGAACGAGGAGGACCACCTGCGTCTCATATCTATGCAGAAAGGCGGCGATCTGGCCGCGGTTTTCCAGCGCCTGATCTCCGCCCTGTGCAAGCTCGAGCAGCACGTCAAGTTCTCGCGCAGCCGGCGCTTCGGATTCCTCACCTTCTGCCCGTCCAACCTCGGCACGACCATTCGCGCCTCCGTGCACGCCAGCTTCCCCAAGCTCGCGGCCGATCTCGCCAAGCTCGAGGAAGTCGCCGGCCGCTACAATCTTCAGGTGAGAGGACCTATGCTCATTCGCTGAGGGTACGTGTGTCTCGGTGTCATCGGTATTTCGGGCTCCGAGTGCCTTGCATTCGTCATCGTACCTTCGATACGTATTTTAGAAATCCATGGTAACAGCTTGATGCGAATACTTGACAATTCCACAAGCATTGCCCCGTGACAAAGATCATTATTTTACGAGTGATTTTTTTTTTTTTTTTTTTTTTTTCATGAATATACCGAGAGGAAAAAGTTATTGACATTTCAGAAAAAATTACATTCTGCACGGTATAAATCGAATGCAAGCTGTCAATAAAAGGGAAAAGTTTTAACAGTAAACATTTCTACGCGGGAAAGTAAAATTTACTAACTGATCCTTTTAAGGTTTACTGCTCCAGCGTGGTTATTTTTACTGTTCTAAAGATAATTTTTGCTATTCAAAAAAAATAATTGTTTCCTCTTTTGCCAGCTTACATTCGATTTACCGTGCGGAATGGTAATTTTTTCTGGAATTTCTCTATGATTTTTATTATATTTTTTTCTCTCAGTGTATACTTATCGATTACATTGGTTTATACACTCATGTGATTTTCATTTCAACTTGTTGGTTGATCCCATTCCAAACCTTAGACCCAAAGCGGGTCAGTGAAAAAAGGTCAATGTTTTTTTTTTTTTTTGTAATCAGTAAATCGTAATGGATTAAAAGAGGGAAATAAAATGGAATTTTTGACGGATGCACAGGTTCGAGGTACTCGAGGTGAGCACAGCGAGAGCGAAGGGGGCATCTACGACATAAGCAACAAGCGTCGGCTCGGCCTCACCGAGTTCCAAGCCATCGAGGAAATGCACAAAGGAATCGTCGAGCTGATCAAGCTCGAGGAGGGCTGCTGATTTGAAAGAGATTTGGTTTTTTCAATGTCGATCCATACCTTTTAAAAAAAATTTTTTAGTGCTAAACGGCACGTGAACGAAAAAACGTTTGGCTGAAAAATAGAGAAAATAAATGGGTCAGAAGGACTACTATGAAAACCTCGAATCTTTTGAGATGCATTGACTACGTTTTTTATTCTCATTTGGTATCAAATAAGCAAATGATGACTTCAAAGTTTGTGTCGCCTAACTGTTCAAGGTCTTTACGAAAATTCAAGCACAAAACTACGAGAAACATACGTTAATTAAGACATACGTATCACACCCACAGCTAAAGTAAACTTAACTCGCTAACGATCTTCATCGACGTTTGCTCAAAGTTCAGTATTTCCAAAGTATACAATCTGCACGACGTCAGCAGTGGATATGGCGACGCAACTACCTACAATAGAGACACATACGAGCAAGAATTTCGACCTTCTGTACTTTTGGAAAAAAGGAAATTCCGTGCGCGCAAGCCTTCGAAGTTTAGTATGTAGGATCACATATTTTATGTGCACTTGTGCAAAGAAATCGATAGAATGGCAATACACGTACCGAAAAAGGTTCGAATGGAAAAAAAATTCATATACTTGAATCGCCTTTACTTTTACTGCAGTAGCTCTCACGTCTATGCTCCGGTTTTCTTTTACTACGTTTTTTATTCAATGAAACTCCTCGCGCGTACACGGATACTATACGACTGTAATTCACCCAGTAGCTGCCGTAAATATTTCTCCATGGGGCCCTCTTTTTCGGTTACTAACAAAATTGTTTCCCTACTCTGGACTTTTTTTTTTTTTTTTTTTTTTTTTAACCTTTAAATGTTTACTGCGTTTTCGATAGGAATCTGCGCATCCACCAACCAGGGCTAGCACAAGGGCGTGGTTTTACACCGGCGGCATGTGCCAACAGGTACGAAAACTGTTATTCAGCCCGTATGATTTGTGCATAATATATGTGGGTTGGTGGAACGCGAGGGGCCGTAAATTTCCGTATTTTCATCCTTTACGCTCTTGCAAATGCTTCTCGTATCTAATTAACATAGTCGACTGACATTCTCTCGGCCAACCGAGCTTATTATAAAATGAGTGATAAAAATCGATTGATATTACCGTGACTTACTTGATTAAAATGGCCCTATGTGTTTAAACTTTTTGCAATGATGCGGTAAAGTATAAAAAATGTTATGCTTATTCCGATTGATTTTATGTGGTATTATTGAGTCTGAATAATGTTATTAATAAAAAAAAAAGTAAAGACTGCAATAACAACAACAACATTATAAACAAGAGTAATGTAATAAGTACAATCGAGTGTGTTCATAAGTTCGTAATGTTTTTGTAAACAATGAACAAAGAACATACAGACGTGGGCACCTTATTTTTATGTGTTTACAAAAAAATAAAAAAGGGGCTAGTCTTGGAATGTCAGTTGTATCACCTACTGATGCAGTGGTGATTATTAGGGGACCCCTTGTGCTTCCAGAATTTGTTTATCTGTCACCCGTGGGCTCGGATTCCCGTGAGAGCCTTTGCGACGGCCGAATGTCAAGTATGCCGGACAAAGTTGGTTTATTTTCCGATTTTCCTCGGTCTATAGCTGTACTGTCGGAAGAAGGTAATAAACGGCGCAAGCCGGCCCACGTACAGGTAAAAGATTCGCGCAAACGAGCCGTCAAAGTATCCTCTTCCTCCGAGTGCAATAGGGAGTTGTGGGGCACCATTTGTGCGGCTGGGAAGGTGCGGAGGAGAAATGGCAAAGAACAGGAAGTGAGGACAAAACAGTTTGAAAAACAGTCCATGTCAATAGATTCGTTCGTGGTACGGGTAAAAGGAGTACCCCCGAAGCCTCGAGGAAATATCGTGTTTGTGCGGACCTTCGAGCTTACACCCCCGAACGAATCTGTAATAAAAGGCTCCAGGAAAAAGGAGAAAGCTTCGATGTCTCGATTTTAACAGTTTCGCGTGACGAAATTACCGAGGTTATATATTATACAATGTGCATTTTACTTCGAACGTTTTCCTCTCGTGGAGCATTTCAAAACGTATATTCATGAACAACGGTGCATTGGTAACCGGATAATACTCTCTGTTATCAGCTACGAACCAAAAAAAATAACGCTTTGCTCAAATTTTAATCCATAGACGTTTGTCTGTAGCCACGTGTACAAAATAAAAAATAGATCTATTATTATTTTTCACCCTTTGCTGCATTCCAAACAATTTTTATTTTTCTGCTTGTACTTAATGGTTGCCTTTTTATTTTTTAAAAATATTTATTTGTTAATATTCTTGCTTATTTATTGACTGCTAATTGCTGCTGTTGTTTTTTGAATCTGTTTTTCATTTAATCTTTCTCAACTTTCTTCTTTTTTTTTTTAATTTTTTTGTCATGTTTAATCTCCGTTTTGAATTTTATCATTGCTGTTCATTTTCTTGACTGTTTTTTTATTTCACGAGTTATTGTTTACCATTTTCTCTAATAAAAACTTTTGATGATAATTTAAGTTACATTAGGTATCACATTGTAAACATAAGAAAAGATATAGAAGATCAACCTGAGTAATATTACAGTGTGAAAAATCGATATTTTTGTGTTTTCAAAGTGATTTTCTAATCTCCGATCAAGAAAAGTTTATGTACGTAGGTATATATGCGTACATGTGCGCATCAATACTATTTATTGACGATGGTTGAGTGAACCATTGACAAGTGGTAAATGACGCACCTTTGATGGTGAAGTAAAGAATGTCCCGGGCCGCACGTGTAGCCATGACACTCGAGGCTAAGCCGAGGGCGGCAAACATGCGGCCTGAGTAATCTTTACTATTTTTTTGGCCTACTTTGACTAATAAAAAAAAAAAATTCACTCTCACTCTCGCGTAATAAAAGTGAAAGCACTAATTTAGGCTGAGGTAGACTAAAAAAATGGTTCTAGGAATAATGACTTTTAAATAAGGTATTTGAAAAAAAAAGTAGGGATAAACATGTAACCTATAGGAATGTAAATCCGTTACCGAGCTTGAACCGTTTTACCGTTGTCATGTTACAAATGTACCATACCTATACATATACAAATAACTTACTCCGAGCACGATTTTTTTTTTAAGTGATTTAAAAAAGTACCCTATGTTTGAGACTACCAAAACAGAAAATCTATTACATCAACTGCTATGTTTGTTGAAATAAACAAATGTGATTTCCTTAAAACTTATTTCCTGGATTTGTCTAAAAAATTCGTATTTACATTAGTATTTGCTTTGAGTACAAATTACATTGGGAATGGGAATACGCCAAGTTTATTTTATCAAACATTTGAATTATGATTTCATATTTATGTTAAAATAAGCCTCACACAGTTTTTGTTCTATTTTAAAAGCAAGAAAAAAATGTTAATCATCAAATAATTACCAAATAGTTCATCCAAATGCAACAGAATCAATTTGTAGAGAGATTTCACGCGAGGTTGGAAAAAACTAGATTTTTCAGGATTTATAACATTATAATCTTCAAATTAATGTCTGCTTCGTGAAATGTCTGTTATCGAGTATTAATATTATCAAGTAAAATTATTATCTACGAGAGATAATTTTAATTGAAATCACGGAGTCAGCATAAATATATAGCTTTAGTGTGCCTTTGTACTGACGAAAATAGGAATTATACGCCTAAAGTTTTTGGAAGGCATAAAATAATTCATCTTGTCGTGAAACTTCTGAAAGCATGCCCACTAATGGTTTTTTAATTTTTATACTTTAGAAAATTTTTCAAAATGCCGCATTCTCATTCTGGGAATTTTATAAGCTCTTAAATTGGAAAGAACGATTGTAACAGTCGAAGACTGAGCCATAGTTATTTTTAGAACCAGTGTTTGATTTTTAAAATAAATATTTGCCTTGTTATCTTTATAGCAAAAGTAGTTGGAACAGTAAAATTTTTTATTTGAAATTTTTGGATATTAGACTTTGAATAAAAGAAACTTGGTAAATGATTAATTTACACACACTTTGCAAATAAATTCTATATACTTGATTATTTTAAACGGATTTTAATCGATTATATTGAATATATAATAATAATGACATTCACATTAATTTGATGTATTGAAAAATTTTCATATTTTCAATTGTTCCAATTAAAAACTTGTATTAGTTGGGCCGTGACTTACTGTAAACCAAAATACTAAAAAACTTGATTGAAACGTATATTTAATTTTCAATGTATTATACGAGTGTCAAGATCAAGGTCACGCAATGGCGAGTAAAATGTCCTTTTGCAACTAATAATGCGTATATGGAGGAAAATAAAAATACCTAACAACTCGACCGTACTCAAGCATTTTGACCATTGACGTGTACTCGCATGTTTATAACCCGTTCGCACGATGTGTACACCAAAACAAAGAAAAAGAGATCCAGACAAGCCGATCTTGAGATGAGCAAGCCGTAAAGTATGCAGCAGGTATAATATATTTTGCTCGATGTGACGAGCCATCCGTGATGTCAGAAATGGTACAGCTGTGTGTGGATATGTAACGCGGAAAAAATTCGGCTCTTATCGTACAAAGGCACTCCACGTGCAACGTATTGACCGGCAGCTCAAAAACCGGCTCGGCAACTCGTCGGCCGGTTTTTCATTCGCGCACGTGCCGCTCCCCTCTTCCTATCTTTTTGTTTGTTTTTTTCATTTGTCACACGCGGCTGTTGATTCTTGCAAGATAAAATAAAATGCACTGGCGGTGTTGGGTGTTTACGGTAATTTTATAAAAATGCAGCGCACAAAGGACAGCTTTGAGGATAAGGAAGCCCGACAAGGTCTCGATATGTATGGACTCGAGCCCTTTGCAGCGGAAAGTTTTGAAAATCAGCTATTGGTACTTGTTGGCGCGTTACCTTGAGCGAGGAGAGGTTATCCGCGTAGAGAACGAAGTCCATTCAACAAAAAAGCATGCCCTTACTTTTTGGATGACACAAGCTCGTGCCAGAGGTAGGGGAAACACTGCCCGACGCTGGCTGGATTAATGTATAAAAGTTTCGCTTTTCACTCCGAAGAGTCGAGATCGATCGACTCCGAGTAGAAAATTTCTGTTCCACGGTTGCGTATAAATCATGATCTATCTCTTAAAATAATCACGTAAACATCTCGGCGTTAGAATGGGGTAACTTGACCTCTCGTTACGTTTATATTGTTGTGAAAACCGTTTATTTTTTTTTTCGTACACGAGTTGTGAATCACTTTTTTATTCACCGTTCGCTAATGTCATTTAATTTTGATTGATCAATCGTAACTATCAAAATAAATAAAATTATTGTTATTATTTTTTTAATCTGCATAGTAGAGAATTATAATGCATTTTTCCGAAAGTATACGCTTACCTAGACATCTTTTAATTATACTTTCTAAAAACAGCCCTAAACTTGAAGTTTTGCAGTTTCTAGATTGCCCCTCCACTAGGTGACATGCAGGGCTGCTACGTGTGAGACAGGGAATGGTTAATAGATCGTTTTAAACGTGAAAACTTTCAACGATGAGTAATGCAGAAACCTCAATACCTTAATGATGTCATTGGGTCGTATGTGTTCCTACTCATTGCAGGACTACAGTTTAAAAGGTGTTGCTCCGACAAAGCGGTAGTTTCTGTGTTTTCGCGTTTTAACTTCTGTAACATTTAAGGCTACGATCAAAAGGTTTCTGCTAGTTATCATGGATGTTATACTGTTTTTATTAGTGTTAAAAGTGCAATTGGCTTTTAGTCTCGATTTGAAAGAATTTGTACCATTTAAACACGATATTATCAGAGTTCGAAATGAAAGTCATTTGAGAGCCCTTGAGGACCTTAATCAGTATGCCGTACTTGATTTTGTGAGTAAAATTGTTATTTTTAATAAAATGCAATATACTTTATTGAATAATACATCAGATTCCACAGAATGTGTACTGTGAATGTTTCAAAAAAATTTTTTAATAAAATTATTCATTATTGAAACGGTTACGTTAATATGTATCAACATTAGTTAAGTTGTCTACCGCTATATTTATAAAAACGTATATGATACCCTCAGTTTAAATAATAGTCTTTACAATTATTGTGTTCTCAATTTTACTGTTACATATTTAAAAGTGAAAGTGAAAACCTGGTACTGATACACTTGACGATTTTATTCTGCTACAATAATTAAGTGTTTCAATGGATTTCAAACTTTTTAGTAAGACATAAAAAAACGGCATCGAATAATTTAAATACATGAATTCTCAAAATACCAAAAATACCATACGGATAATATACTTCTCACGGTTTTTCTTTGAATTAAGAAACGTGAAAATGTCTGTCTTCATTTGCATGACGCACAATGTATATGGTAATCTCGTTTTAGTAGTTGATTTATGGCACTTACTTACTGAATTATACTCATTAAAAGTCAATTTTTGAGTCAACACTTTTCAGATGGTTTTCCATCCTAGATTCACACGTGGTATTTAGCTGACCCATTTCACTGATACCATTTAATTTACCTGTGTGTTCCAATAGTTGTAAATATATGCACTACAAAATTTAGGTCACTTCGAAAAATAATTTTGTTTTCCTAAAATTGAAAGTATTTGATTTATCAAAAAAATTAAAGCCTGAAGTTCCAATCAGCAAATAATTTATTCATTTTTTTTTGTGCACGAGAAACATAAATTTTACTCTCACTTTTTAAATAATGACCAAGACATTTGTCTAAAAAAAAAAAAAAATTGTCAATAGTAACAAAAGGCTACTTGTAAGAATGTGAGTAAAAAAAAATCATCCATTTTTTAACTGTTAATTACGTGTTCCTTGTACTTCAATAGATAAAATTTTTTTAAAAAATATATTGGTGTCCACAAAGCAATCATTGGCAGTTGTAGCCGTAGCAGTAACATCTTACCGTTAGTCAGTTAGGGCGGGTGGGTAGAAAAAAAAAAAAAAAAAAAAAAAAAAACAATTTTTGTACAGATCGGACTGGTCGAGCGCCATGGGTACACGGCAGAGGAACACAAAGTGACGACAAGCGACGGGTACAACCTCGTGCTGCATCGGATTACTGGGGGCCCGTCAAGTCCACTTGCGAAGGAAGGTGGTCCGAGCAAGCCCGTTGTATTCGCGCAGCACGGACTTTCCCTATCCAGCGACTCGTTTGTCTTGATTGGACCTGGCAAGGATCTCGGTAAATGCACACATTTGCTGATAAAAGTTTCTTCCATTATATTCAATTTTTGGAATCTGCTTACTTCATAATTAAGCAATAACAATTTTTATTTATCTTCATATAATTAAAATATTTCATCTTCACCAGCCTTTCTTCTTGTGGATGCTGGTTACGATGTATGGCTCGGAAACGCACGAGGCAACACTTATTCGAGATCCCATATTTCTTTGTCTCCGGAGGATAAACAATTCTGGGAATACAGGTGTGCATAATTACAAGCATAAAAATAAAACTTAATTTAGCTCGCTAATGCATCTAAAAAAATGTTCTTATAAAATATATCCATGCATAGTATAATCTTAATTTTTTTTTTTTTTTTTTTTCCTTGTAGAGGGGGTTTTTTCGCTCGATTTACTCTCCGAGGGTACGGATATCGGTAGGTTTTTGAAACAACGTGGGTGTACTCACGTTTACCGTGTAGGCGAAGACGAGGACGATGAGAAAGCTGGTCAGGGTGGTCATGGGTCCGCAGTAGGGGCCAAAGTTGAATAGGGTCCTGAAGTACCCATCGGCTACCAAAAAGTTGTATACCTGCAATTTTTTTTTTTTTTTTTTTTTTTTTTTTTTTTTTTTTTTTTTTTTTTTTTTTTTT